AGCCACCATAGTTTTAGCCAAGGAAAGTATCACCCTGGATCCTGGTAAAACAATGAAGGTATAGGCTACATATGTATGTTTAGATATGTTGGCAGAACCATAAATATGCCACTCAGTAGCAAAAGTTATGCCAATACTAACATTAACAACGTTGGTCAAGTTGCCACGAAAGTTGATCCATCGTTGAAGAAGCGGATCAGGTAATGATTAATCCTTATCCAACTTGTGAAGTCAAAGTTGCTGTAATAGTACTTTAGTGACGATAACCACTGGGCCTAAGAGACCTGTGGTGTAATACAACTTAGCAACTTCAGATTTTTTAAATTCATCATCGTGTGATTTGTGAATTTATTGCAACTCGTTAGAGTTAAATTTTAACAATTAAATCGTACAGTTTGGGTACTCTAAATAAGGTCAAGGGTTGATATCACCACGGTGCTCTCGACCTTCACATCTAACGCATCGCATGATGGCAAATCTTCAATTCAGATTATCAAGCATTAACGCCTCGTAAGTGTCAGAGAGTTTCTTATTTTATTCTAGCCTGTTTCTGAACGCAGAAAACAAGCACGTTCAATTTTCCGAAAACTGGTGGAATCAGAACCTGATAAAAATGACTGACGCTCTACTCAATTTTACCTGTTTATTTTTAGAGTGAATTCCGACAAAATTTTTTCCACAAATTTCTCGTCTGAAGAGAAATTTTGTTGAGACGAACTTTTTCAATCTCCTAGCACTTTATGAAAAAATTAAAGACTATAGGCTATGCACAAGTACAAAAGACTTGAGCTGAATGGTTTGCTTCAGGCCCAGGTATTAAGTTGGCTTGACCTGTGAGCAGCCATTCAAACACCGATTGCTGAGCTAGAGAATTATCACTGAGGACAAAACGAACTTTGCAGGGTTGCGAAAATTGTGGGTTAGCTAACGTTGCACCATGAGTTGTATGACGAGTTTTATAATAGAAATAAGTCCATTAGCTCATCGAGGGCTAGAGCCACGACGTTAAATTGAAAATGCTGATCAAGTTTTGATTTGACAACAACTTGAGCTTCAGCCTGTGATTTAGTTATAATAAGACCCCAAGTCCGGTGACTGACATGAAAACCTTACCTGATCCTTATAACAATGAATCAGCCGCTTATTTGGCAATAAACGATTGTTGTGATCTAGGGCCAAACAGTGCTTGAATTGAAACTGAATTTTTATGGAGATATTTTCGTGAGACTTGAGCCCTCGTGCGTTGTTAGAAAGACAACGCTCTCCACGGTAGTTAAGTGAGCTACGACTATATACATAGCAAGCTTACGACGTTGTAGCTTGTTATGGACAGCCAATTTGTTTAGATAAACTCGTGGGATCAGTTGCAGTCTTTGAATTCGAAATGAATTTAGGCAATTTAATTCTCAAATCATCTGGGTAAAGCCAAGTGTTATATTTACCCTGATAAACAGAATACGGCTTCGTTGAAGGGCATTTGTCAGCAAAGTGAGAAACCTAAAGGCAATTCAACCAGAATTCTTCTTTTTTACAAAATTCAGTCTTTGGTGGATAGACATCTTTTTAAATTTTTTCTAACCAAGGAGCCAATGATGAGGAATCGGCATTCCGAGCCGAATGGGCCGTAATTTTTTTTTTACTGACAGAGAAAATATTTTCCAAGCATAGTGAATACCCCAAACTTTTTAAGTTTTCGTGAGATAAAATCTAACTTCTAAATGATGCAACGCAAAATGAATGAATAATCAAGTTAGCCCCGCACTGTCTCCTTGACCTGGTCTGAAAGATCGTTAAGGTCTTTTGCATTTTGTGCAGAAATGACTGTAAGATGAATTAATTTCTTTATATTTTTGGAATGTCTGAGTTAGATGTTGTCGTACTGATGAGAAAGTTTTCCTCACGCAATTGCATAATTTGCGTCAGTAATTCCTAACCCTTTTTACAAGTAAAATAAAAAATTGTGTTAAACACAACAAAACAAATAATAATAATAAATAACGTATAATGTGAAAATGACTTATAATAACAAAAATTCATTGTATTATTAATAAGAATTAGGACTAATTATTAGGTGGTTCAATTAGATACATGCACGCACTTATATAACTGGGATATAAGATACAAATTTTTTTTTCGGGTACGAGAGAATTTTATTATATTTTGACTCACTCGTCAAAGTCCGAATGGTAAACCAATAATAAATATCACAACATAATAGCATTATACGGGCAAAATAACAAAGGTAGGGTATTAAACTTCATTTGGACATACAAACTTTGGTAGTAAAAGACGCAATGCTGTATTTAAGAAAAGTATATCTTCCTTCTAATTGATGTTATTCTCATCCAATTTTATATGAAGCATTTCGGAAATAAGTTTTATTATAGTAATAAAATTCTCCGTCAAGGAATTCGTTATTATTCTAATCAAATTTACAGTTGAAAGTGTTTTGATGTGCATAAATGACTGAATCAAGATTCTCATACCTTCTACGTTTTTTAATGTGGACCTCTGTGGTGTGCTTTGTCTCGCTCATTTATAACACTAGACTGCTTTCATAGTAAAATTTAGAAAACTTAGCGTTTTCAGTCTTATCCGTTTTTTTTTTTTTTTTCGGACTTCTTAACCTAACCTTTACGTTTTTATCAATAAATCTCGAAGATTACTTATCAAAATTAAAAATTATTAATCAAAAGGTGTTTTACTCCCGTAAAATTCATTTTGCAAGACTTTGTACTGAAAAGTAAAATCGCTCTGTCAAATAAATTGACATGACATTTTTTTTGTAATTGACTGGATGATCAGAAAAATAATTGAAGATACGTCCAAAGGACGTAGATTTTATAAGCTAGTCAGAAATGAAGTGATAAGAATTTCTGATTATCGCCAAGTCTAGAAAATTAAGTTTTTTATCAAACTCCATTTAATGTGTTAATCGTATATTAGGATGGTGTAAATTAAATTTATTTAAAACTTGCGCTGCATGGTCTTTCTCAATAAGAAGTAAAACATGAGCTACATAATGGAAATAAAAAGACATACTAATGGAGACACAGTTACTCTCCAGATCATCTTTTAAAGATCAGCAAAACGTGATAAAATTGGGAATCCTTTTGGCATCAATAAAAGTTCATAACATAAAATCTAGATTTTTTTTACCTCAGCTAATGAAGGTAACGTTACATAACGTCTTCAAAAATGATTGTTCTACAAAAATGCATTAACTATTGTCAGATACATCGACTTATAAAAGTACTTTTAAAACCATTTGAATTCTGTACTAAAGCGAACTACGACGATTTTAAATAATCTAAGTACTAATGGTGTCTTTTTAAGGATTCATCATCCCAACTCTTTATCTCACACATACAACATTTTGGCTAAGTTGTATGGCTTGCCGACAATTCATGAGGTCGATGCCCACTGGCATCCTATCATTTCATGAATCACCAGTTAGATATATTTTCTGTCGTTAACAATTTATAATAAACTTAATAATTCTATTAATATTTCAAAATTACATAATCACTATTGCCTTACAGTATAAAATAAATTAAAAAATATATAACTTTCTTTCAATTACAGATTTTGTCTTTTAATGTGAGATTGCTGTTTACCAACATCCTTCTCAATTTAGTATTAAATAGCATAGACCAACGCATATTTTCAGTTACACTTTCTTTACTTTCGGTAATAAATTTTTGATATGAAATATCTTATGGTGGGCAGTGAACAGAAACCGAACTAGTCTCATTCCTTATTACTTATATGGATACCAACTGACGAACTACTAAATTAGAAAATTAATCAATAACTGGGCATTTTTTATAATAGGTTAATATCATTCAGCGCGCTGATTTCAAATGAAATAGTTAAAATTATTTCTAAGTGGTCTAATGACATTAAAATCGTGTTTTAGAGTTTGTTTTGCTTATATCTTGTAACGGTGTGAACAGAAAAAAAAAATACCAGCCAGTAGGGCAAAAACTTTTTTATCAATTACCACTTCTAATTTTATTTTGACAAGCGCAAAATATTTAGAAAAAGAATAAAAAAAGCATTTTGGGCAGTACTTGTAAAAGTAAGTGAGATAGAGGGAGCCATTCATTGTCTGCTATTGCGCTCGCTCTTTTTATTATAATCATACAGGTAGGTCTTTTTCATTGTATTTCTTAATATTTTATGCTTGTAGAAAATAAAAAATTAATATTAGAATTAGTGTTATTTTTTCATCATTTTTTAAAAATTTCTTCTTTGTAAATAGGATTATTTTAAAGTACAAATACTTGACTATGATGCAAAGTTTTCCTGAGGTCTTCCAATTGTGTTTACTCAAACTTCATTTTAACCAGTCTTTAGTAAAAAGTCAATAAAATTCGTGCACGTGCACAACTACGCACAGTTATCCGAAAAGAGATAGAGAAACAGAGAAAGTAATGCACATGAACGTATTGTTTAACATTTGTTTGTACCTATGTGTCGGTAGGTAGTATAGATACTCTTTGCCGTGTATTATTGTTCTCGTTGTTTGTATGTTAATAAATACAATAATTATAAAAATAATTTAATGTTTGGTTTTCCCTAACCTATTATATTAGCTTATAGAAATACATATTCGTAAAAACTGTCTTTTTGATATAAAAATATAAAGTGAAGATTATTTTATGTGAAGAAAATTTTTACTTTTTTATCATAGACAATCAAATACCACCAAGTTTAATAACATATTATTTAATGTCACACATCTGTCAGGGGTCCCGAGACCCACACCTAGTTTTTTTAGTTTTTTAAAACACATTTTCGACTTATATTTGATTATTAGTGATAACAATATTTTAAAACCCGCATTATACTGGAGCCCAAATCGTTTGATATGGAGTTTTTTACGTAACTTATCGCCTTCCAATTTTCTGTTTGTGCATTACTCGTACTTTCACACTAGCACCTTAAAAAGTTGTGTCAAACAATTACTAAATACTACGTTTTGATATTTTTTTCAGACTTTAATTGAACGTTACGTACACTGGAATGAAGATATCGGAGAATGGCAACTTAAATGTGTAGCTTACAGTGGTAATAATATGCGGAAATCTGAAATTAATTCAAACGATCATGGTCATTTTGTGCAGGTTAGTAGTAAATATTTACAAGTTATACATCATATATGCAAAATAATATATGCATGCATTGTTGAGATTTTTCTCTTGGCTCGAAAATTCGTAATTCCACAAATTTAAATTCTAAGATGATAAGTTAAGTAGACTCAAGAAATTTACAAGAGAGTTATTGTGACTCTAAAAAAATAAGTGTGTAGTTTGTAACAAAGATAAATTTAAACATTTTGAGAAAGTAACTTCAGATAAAATATGAAACACAAAATCAAGCTAAATATACTAACAACAAAATTATGAGTTAAAGCCAAATCAATAAATGCCCTGTAACAACAGATGATTTAGTCAACTGGATACAGAAGAGTTGAAAAACTAAGATTTTCCTCGATTACCAATTAAGGTATAAAGAACATAGGAAAGACTGCTTTGCGGGACCAGACTGATGAGCACTAAAAATTTTTAAAAGTGTAATTACACGTTGTGGGGGAACTCGCACACCCAGACAAGAGTGTTGATTACGCTGTAGTTGACAGTACGATAGTCCACACCTTTCCCACAGCTGTCCTACTTACAAAATAAAGGCAGACACCTGCAGTTAGAATTAACTTACCTTACTACTTCACTCTTAAGATAATATCATTTATTACTTGTTATGTAAATTGTGGCTAGTGAGTTAGTTTAACCTCCTTATTAATTGTTTAACATTCAATATTTTGACCGATATAATTACTAGGCTCTACAATAATTTGCATACTTTAAATAGTGCATGTGCTAAAAATCTCTTATATCCTTTCTGAAGTTTATTGTACTATAGTGACATTTTTCGGAATGACGAAAACCATTACTTTTTCCAAAATTGATTTTCTGAAATGATTTGTTTCTGGAATTAAAATAAAAATAAAACTACGAAGTGTAATTATGTATTTATCTATTTAATAGTCAAACCGGTCTTCAAGTGTATCTGTTATATTAGGACTACAATTTTTTAGGTAAAGAACTGTAAAAAATCTTAGCCATCATGTGCCTAATATTCATAGTAATTTCATACTATTAACCGTATTCTGTGTTTAAATTTTTTTTTGGTGAAGCTTTTACCTACTGCCCAATCTCTGCAACTGCTATTTCTGTGTTTGTTTAATCTTTTTTTTAATATTATTTTAAAGCTGAGTTAAGATTAAGGTGATGCATGCTCACTAAAAGTTGAAAGTGATTGTGCCCTCTCTTGTTTGAATTATTTCTTTAGTGAAAGTTTGCCAAAGTTATTTTAAGTTTCCAAACAGCTAATGCGTATATTCGTGGTTCAGCTCTTCATTTTTCTTTAGCACCATTTTCGTATGCATATAATTCCTGAAAATATTCCAGAACAGATTCAAACGTGAATAGTACGTTGTATATTTTTTTACATAAATTTTTGCTGCTAACTATACAACACCATTGACATGTCAGCTTTGAGTTTCAAACTTACTAACTTGATATTCATGATCGTATGTCGTAATCAATAGATCATCTTTAAAATAAACATAACATGTCACAAATAACAATAAAAAGAAAAACAAAATGATTCAAAGTTATGTTTCTTACTGTTTTTGTCAATTACGGGGTACATATTGATGTAATAAAGTTTTGTCAATGTTTTAGCAAGTTAAGTCACTTCTAACAAATACGTGATATAAGATAAATTTAGCAGAAGGGCAAAATGAGATGTGTTTAACAGAGAACAACATTTAATAGTACGAAGACCGTTAGCCCACTTGCAGCAATGTCTTATGGCTAGTATAAGTTAATTTTACATCTAATCAAACTATTTTTGATTACTCATTGCAAATAATTTACAATAAAATCATTGTTATCGTCATTTATTTTTCCTAAGTATAAAATAGCTTGTTGCAATCAATAAGATCCCATTAAATGTAATTTTTATTCTTTCTGCCAACTTTTGAAATTCAAGTAAATCGTATGAAGATATTCGTCTACATGATGCTTATTTCTGATTGTAATTAGAATCTGCAATTTTTTTGTAATAAAAACTTTTAACTCTCTTCTATGACTTTCTGCTTTGAATAAATTAATTCAAATATACAATTACCTGAATGGAGTCACTGCTTAGTCATATTGTTGAATTCAACTAGAACTTTAACAATACGTTAATGTATTTAGAAAAGGCTTGATTTTCAAAATTTATAGTGTGATAGCTTCTGCGATTTTTCGATGATATGACTCGTAGCTTTTACAAACTAACAAAGTTAAGTCACGTATGTTTGCATGTCTTATTCATCTACCTTTTTTTAAACAGATATTAGTACTCTATTACACTTTTCTAAAGACCTTTCGATACCTTCAAATCTGCAGATTAAACAAAATTTTTTTTTCAACTTCCAAATTAATTTATGAAAGTTTTTAAGTATTCAATCAAGTCTCATAGTATTGCATTTATTGTGCAGATTATTAAAGGCTTCGACAACCAAACTTTTTTGTTTAGAATAAAATTTTTATAGATTTTTATAGAAGAGAAGAAGAGATACTGTTACTCTTTTTTTTATGTTACAAATAAGTACCATCCGTAATAATTAATGAGGTTTTATCAAATCAGTACAGAATTTCTACAGCTTCTACACGTTTTTCTAATTAAGTAAGCTCACTTATCTTGATTGTATAATTGTACATCCAACAGAAAAGAACCACTTCTGACGAATAAATTTAATGTACCTAGTTCCTTATCGTAGTCTAAGACTATTGGTGTCCATAAAATACACCCAAGGTTTATCAGCCAGTATGTAACCTAAAGTGTATAATGTACTTGCGGGATGCGAGATTAAGGAGTTGATCAAAACGTAAGAAAATAAGTAACAGGTGCAATTTGCTGACAACTGTAATTGAAATTTTAGATCAGTGACAATACCAGTCAGCGTCAGTAATGATGAATACTAAATAAAAGTCTTAGTATAATCTATCAGCTTATGAATTTCGTAAATATCTTCTTTCTAAACTGTTATAAATTGGTTTTTAACATTAAGATATAAATAAACATAAAAAATTCCCATACATTATTTAGATTTGATAACTTACTTAGATGCGATAGTTAATCTAGCCATTTATACATTCAATACGATTCATTTATACGTACATAAATAAAACTTACATATATGCATTCTAACAACATAGTGGGTTGCATAATACCTCCTCATAAGCCCCCCACGGTTCCCCACTGTACCCTCACTGACTTCCACTTTCCCTCTAAACAATTTTTTTTGTCCACCCACAAGCCTTCACGCGCTCCCCATATACTTCTCTCAATCCTTTACTCCATTAATCTGGGGCAATGGTTTCGGTCCTTAGATCCCGCACAAGCTTTTTTGCAAAATATTTATTGATTTACATTGCTTTTGATACTTTCATCTTTAAACAATAGCAAAAAAAGACTATATTAATTATTTAAAGATATATATGTCAATTATTCATGATTTATAATAAATGTACTTAGCATACTAAGAAACCCAATGAAAGTCATGATTAAAACTTTTTTTTTATTTACGTTTCCACCCTACCTAAAAGCCAAATGGATGGACTTCATTATTACTAATACAATAGAAAAAAATTATTATTAACCATCAGTAGTTTGTTAATTTTTAATATTATATAGTACTAAGTATTTTAATTATTTTTGATGAAACATGTGTCTTATAAGTACGTATTATGCATGCATTGTT